CAGGCCGGTACCTCTGTCGGTACCAGCCAGTCCAGTCCAGTCCCGTCAGTCCGCTGGGGTATACCCCAGCCATTGTCTGTTTTCAGGCTCATTCATCACTTGCACATCTTGGAGTACGTGCGTTGGAGTCTTGCGTGGGGAGCTGCGCTGTGCCAACTTGCTCCCCCTTCTTCCTCCATCTCCATCTTTGTCACTAGCGGAGCACCACACCTGGTGGGTCCGCTACATTCGGGAAGAATTTTTCCCACCTAGTTAAAAAATACACCCAATCACCCCAAAGTCCACCGTGCTTCAGGGAAAAGTTCCTCAGGCTTTCGTCAAAAATCTCATCACGAAAGCCCGTCAATCTTAGCTCCACCTTCAGAGAAAGGAGGAACCGAACCTCCGCCCCATGCAGACTTGTAAACCTCTTCGCTCTATGTAAGAAGGAACTCACAACAACCATTTTCTGCTGCTTTCCAATGTAAGAACAGTTGTCCTGGAGGTTCTGAAAAAGTATTCCTTGGTCGAAAACGACCCACTGGTTCTTATGCTGTGCAACACATTTGACCCCGACCGGCCAATCGAGAACAGTCACTACGCATCCCAGAAAATCCCAGCAGGAGGACCGAGTTGTGCATTCCAGCATCAAGTTGCGGTCGTAACAGCCCTCAATTTCCTCAAATTTCTCAAGAATGGATTCGGTCTTCCTGAGAGATACACTTCCATTCGTCTGATACCTGACAAAAATCGAGACATCGTCGATCAATCGCACCCCACGAATCAGCCTACGGTCATTGCCCAAGGACACAAGAAGGGAAAATTCCGAAAAAAACACATAGAAGGCAGGCAATAGCTGGGCTGGAAGGTTTGCCCATCGGAATACCCATCCTCTGCTGTAGCACTTTGCCACAAGCCAAAACAAAGGTGTTTTCCAGGTCAAAGAAGACAAAGTCTTTAATACTACCCAAATCCACACTCTACCATCCGACCTGACACTTTCCTGTTTGGATCTTCGCCCCTTTGCCGTGGTTCCTAAGTAAAACACCTGGTGCCTCACGCTCCTCCCAAAAGTCAATCAACCATGCCAGTGCCCTCCTTATTGATTAGTGCGGAAGATTACATAACATTTCCTTAACATCAAATGCGGCCGTCAGAAACGCCTCCCCCTTTCTCAAGCCCTTGTTAATACTCTCCAGAGACTCAACCAACAGATCAGTGCTTTTCAAGTTAAAATGAGAATTCGCCGGAAAACCCCACAACATGCAATTCACAGCCCGTGATACCTTCTTACAAGCAGTGCCACGCACACTTCATTCGGAAAATGCTGGGCAGATCGAACGCCATCTCTCCACATCCTTGTGTTTTGGAATGACATATGCTCTTCCCAATCTGCCTCTTCCATCCCACTTAGCCAACCTCCCGAGCTTCCTTTCCACATAAGTTTTCCTCATACTACTCAACACCTCAACTTCGTCATTCTCACAGATACCGAACCCAGGGTTCGTCAAGAACAGTTTGTCCATCCCAGCCCGATATTTGACCGGACAGCAGACCAGCGTGTCACCCGGGTTCTGGTCAACAGGAACCAAAACCAAGCCATCAAGCTTCGCCTTCCAAAGTCTAACCTCTTCCTCATTACAGAACCCTCGATCGTCCCCCTTCGTCATATTCAAACACCCTCGCATATCTTCGCGACGGATTTTCGGAACTCCAAAATCAATAGTGCCAAACGAGGCCTCAATTTGCCTCATAAGTCTTCCAACATTGTCCACGCTAGTTGGTCGGATAACATTCCTATTGTTCCGTAGACATGTAGGAACCAGATTCGTCTCATTAAGATGAAAACACACATGATCATCCACTCGAGGGAACTCCTTCCGGAAGGCCAAACAAGAGCAATTAGACTCTCGCTCACAGGCGGCATTTCTGAAGTTGAAGAGCACATCACCCACACTTCTGTTCTTTAGCCATACCACCCTCATCCTCCTCACCGTCATTTTCTTCCATTCCTCTTCTACCTCTGCCTGCGTCACCCAATTAGCACAAAACAGTCTGATCCATGGTTTGCTCAATTGTTTGTCACAGGTAACACGGACAACCAAATGTCTTCTAATGTTCAAACCAAATTTCCTTCTTACTGCACCCGACATAATAACACGAAGTTGATACCTATTACCTGGATCGTTTATCAGAAAAGGAGCAAATGGCCAAGAAGGCATCATAGGCAAATTTCATTCCATCAGTTCTTTTCGAGACCGTGGTTCAGACAGAAAAATTGTCAAAGTCGGCTTCAGAATTAGTGTCCGGGACAGAAAAGGAACGATAGCACGGACAAACAGATAGTTACCCGCCCTGAACAACCCTTTCGCCTTTTTTAACAAGTGCACGCTACCCCCATACTCCACCAGCGACGAGCCAAATTTCCTCTTAATGACCTTCAAGTTCTAAGCCCATCGCTCCCCCCTTGTACAGGCTACATCCACTGAAGAGACTTTATCTGCAATACACGCCTCGAGAATAGATGATAAGCAAGCAGAGACCGTGTCAGTCGTGGAGTGGAACAATAGATGAGTGTGGAACGGTTTCTTAACTCCTGTTACCCCAACCTGCCTGATCTTGCGATTCCTTTCACACTTCCCCGCCCTGCGCCTATTACTCCGCCTCACCTTGTCCCTACTATTCAAATACGGATTCATCCATCCAATCACGTACTTCTCGAGCCGCAAAAGATCTGCCTCCTCACATCCACACACAGGAATAGCCACATACTGCCCTACCCCGCAATGTCTCATCCAAGCGTACAGGCGATGGTTCCGCCGCCCACTCTCAATTACTTGAAGATTAACAGAATGGTACACATGCTCATTCCATCTAACTGACAAAGATCTAGAAGTCGACCCTACATACGTATGCCTTGCCCATGGAGAAAGAAGCACGTACACCAACGGTCCTTCGCACCTTTCAAAGTCAAACCCGTCATCCAAGAATTTCAACAGGTACCCCTTCAGTTTATCCGCCCAAGGAATCTGCCCTTTTAAGATCAGTTGTATCACCAACAGCCTAAAAAAGGCATTAAACTCTTTATCTCGAAGAAAAAAAGTCGACAAGGAAGAGGAAAAGGAAGAAGAAGAGGAAGGGAAAGGAGAGAGAGGAAAGAGAGGAAAAGAGGGAGGACGGGGAGGAGGAGCAATAGAACCGGAGGCTTCATGAGAAAAAGAGGAGGAGGGAGAAGAGTGAATAGAGGAGAACGTAGATGCCGAAGAGGTTACCTTAGAGTTACTGATCCTAAAAGAGGATAGACCACCAAAAGAGATATCATCTTTCCGACGTCGTTTATCACGGCAGTCATTAGCCAGCGACCACAATCGTGCCATGTCCGGGGAACACCCTCAAAGCTCAACACTCTGCTCATCCCCTTCCTCTGATGTCCCAACATCCTTCTGTGCTTCGTCATCCTTGATAATATGAACCGAGCAGCTCGTCGACTCCTTCTGCTTCTCCTTTCCCCTATCTTCCGGGAAGGCCAACTTCGCTCGATATTCGGCCAGTTTAAGGATAGTTGGCTCCATCCTTCCCAGCTTAATACCTGGTTCCTTACATAAAGGTTCCAATCCCGATTTCTTCAACATGCGAAGTTGTCGTATCTGTTTTTCGACGAAGGCAGCTCGGTTATTAATAGGTTGAGGAGACACTGCCTCCTCCGTCCGCCTACCGGCCTACCTCCCTGGTGTGGCCTTCATGTTCTTCCTGCCCGACCTCAAGGCAACCGCCTCGAGTCGTTCCTTCAAGTTCGTACCTCCATCCATCTTCTCCTTATCTCCAACATCCGCAGTCAGTTTACTCAGTTGCTCTTGTAGCCGTAAGACCTCTTTCTCAGCTTCCTCTTTCTTTCTCCTCAGATTGTCTGCTTGCGTCAGCGCTTCGGCCCGCTTCTTCTTCAACACTTCTGCTTCCACGTTAGACACCTCATGCAAGCCCTGCAATTTTTGATATTCCTCCTTCCACTTATCTGTTTCCCTAATGTTATCAGTCCAACGCGGTCTCGGCGTACCTCGGTTCGAGCAGTCCGGGGTATTGACGACAATGCTCCCTCTCTTGTTGCCTGGACGGAGGGCCTCATTCTTCCAAAGCCGAGCCTCATCCATGAAGTCAACATTCTGCTCCCTCAACAGGTTAATCTCCTTCCTCAAACCAGCCACCTCTTGCTCAAAGTTAGACTTAACGAGGGCCGACCCCCTCAGTTCTTCAATTTCCTTCTTTAGCGCGAAAATTTCATCGCCTTCACTTCTTCTGTCGGAGAGCCGCTTCCGTACCTTCGAAAGTTCATGCTGAAGACGCGAAATCGCATCCTCTGCTTGCTGGTGATTGCCCATATTGACCTTCTTTCTCAACTCCTCGTTTTCCAATCGCAGGCATGATAGTTCATCATCCTTCCCACTGCTGCTAGCTATATCTACCTGTTTACCCTTCGTCTGACAGATAAGATCCAATCTCTTGTCTATTCTCACCCCCAACTCTTGCTCAAACTCCTCACGCTCCTTCTTCCATTGTTGCTTTCTATCCTCTTCCTCTTTCAATCTCTTCGCCTTATCCTCCTCCTCCCTTCTTCTTGCTTCCATCTTCCTGTCTTCTACATATTGATTATACACCGCGTCCAAACGTTTCTGGTTAGTCTTCCACCATCCTTGCCTCGCTTGTGGTTGATAATTAACCGCCGTAGTACCTGTAGTTGGCTGATTAGCGGGTGCAGACGCAGCGGGCTGAGTCGAACTCCTGGCTGCCGGTAGCGCCAACAGCGGTGGTCCGGTGGGAATGGTATTCGCACCAGTGGCAGGCGGTCGGTACCCCCTTACTCTCTGCGGGCAATCTCGAGCCCAGTGGTTAAGTGCTCCGCACTGGAAACATTCCCTCTTGGGTTGTAGACCCGCCATAATGCACAGTGAACCCAAAAACAACCAGAGGGACCGACAACTAGACCCTAAACCTCGAGACAAAATCGGTAATCAATTGATAATCGATCGATAGGTGAGAAGCAATCGTGTCACTCTCTCGTAGTGTAAGAAAGGATACATCAACCGACGATATCGATAGTGATACCGATTTCATACAAGAGGCGGCCCACAGGGGCCTAACTACTCAATCATGACAAGACCCATAAGACACATTAAATTCATTCGCGACCGGTGCAAAGAAAGACAGACAACAAGGACCAAGGATCAGAGACACAGAGAAAGAAGAAGTAGGGGAAGAGAGAGAGGGGAGGAGATGACTAGAAGAGGAACAAGATGACGCAACATAGTCGTCCCGAACGTGACTTGGTAGGTATTAAAATTAGAAAGAATAAGCACAGCCTAACCAGCTTGTATCGAAAGTGAGCATCGTGCTCATATCGTCGATACCTGTGACAAGCAAACGGCGGATTGACCCGACATGTTTCGTCCGGTCGCCGTACCGGAACTCCCAGGGGTCTTTTGTCACGAAGAGTGACTTATAACGACGTCATCAGTCCATTTAAGATATTGAGTAGAAAGTAGAGAGAACCGAGGACCGAAGACAACTAGACCAAAGGACGTTCCAACTACCGAGTTCCGAAGCTCCTAGATAATTCGTAGACCCAACCCTCATGGGTCGTCCTTACCAAGCCTTTATCATTTACCAAGTACCCGAAGGTTCCAGACTTCAGACAGAAAGGGAGCAGAAGCAAAAGACAAAAACAGAAAACAGAAGCCTGAGACGAGGGACAGAAACCGACGAGAACGGAAAGCGGGTCTATCACCAGACCAAAGACTAGCCTTTGCCTAATGGCTGAAACCGCCTTGAGGTTGGTTGGTCATCGAGGGGAAAGCATGATTGACCAGGAGCAGTAGGTGAGGAGATGCTTGCTTTGAAAGGGATAGAAATGGAGTCGTATTTGGGTGGGACCCCACAGGCTGGCGGCCTGGAAAGCGGTCTGGCGGAAGTCGGCGGCATGAGGCCGCCACGAACGGAAAGCGACCAGAACAGGGGACCCCACCGCCACCGTAAAAATGTGCCTTCTCCCGCTCCGCGCTTTCCCGAACAGGGAAGTCGATCTCGAACTCTCCCAAAAAGGAAAGCGTGCCTGTTCCGTTTGTGTTCCTGGGTCCATGCGCGTAGGCGCGCAGGCGTGTGGCGCCAACAGAAAAAATCCGAGTTTATAATTTTTTTGTTAATTAACCTTATCTTGTTTATAAACAGTTTAGAAGATTGATTCTTGACTGTCATTTAACCGTATAAGGTTAATCAACATTGAAAGAGAACGGAACAATTTTGGATGGTTGCTTTAACAAGACTAACGTTACAATCTGTCGACAAGCAATTGACATTCGAATCCATGAATGTTGCTTTTAACGTTGGGGTTACGTTTTCCCCAATGTTGCTTTTAAAGTTGGGCTTACATTGGGGTTACGTTTATCCGAAAGTTGCAATACGTTATGAAATGTTTGAGTATTTTGATGAACGTTTTTTCATTGTTATTGGTTCAGTTCATCGGGTTGATTCATAACTTTTTCTTAGCGATTTTAGAACCGTTTTTATATCATAGGTCGAGTAAACGGTAATGTTGAAGTTGTGATTCACAACTTATTGAAATGTGTTAGAGAAACATTTAATTTGTTGAAGAAAAAAAAAGGTGAATGTCTGTGAGCCGAGCAGGCCGAGAAGGGGAGGGAAGGGAGGGGGGGGGGGAGAGACACCTTCTATGTTCATAAAGACAGTATCTCTATCGATACTTAAAATAATAATGTTCTTACTAGTGGCACAAACGGTAACGCATTCTGCAGTATCAAATGCAGAAGATGTTGAAGTGAGATTGCAAAAATGTAAGTAATCTCACTACAACATCTTTTCTATTTGATACTCCAGGTATAGTCAATCCGCTTGTGATACTACTAAGAACGTTCTTATTTTACGTATCGGTATTACGTTTAGTCCTATGAACATATAATGCGTCTCCTCCCCTCCTCCTCGGCGTGGTAAGTTCACAGAGCACTTGCAGTAACACAAGGCATTATAACGTACTGCCAAATGTATTGGACATGAAGGCTTTAAACTACTAGTACCTCTTAGAAAGCAAATATTTTTTATGCGTTATACATGAAAACGATAATGAAATGGTAACAAGGACAACATATATGCATGTTATGCTACATACATATAATTCAACGCAAAAGAAAAAAACAGAAATCACTGTGGTGAGAGTTCTCGTCCGTTTCATATGCCAATAGAAAGTCGATAAATTACAACATACATGATATGCATAACAAGTCTGGTGGCGATTACGCACAAGCAGGACAAAACACCATTCATTTGTAAGAACACGATACGCGTGATGATGATATCTCTCTTGCCGCTCAGTCTCCCACAAGCAAGAGAGCGGACGAAGGTCGTGAGTAGGTAGAGTGTTAAGTTATTGCGCATAGGAAGTACGAAGTCATATGTACAACTGTGACATTTGTTCAGAGTGAACCGAGTAGAGGAAAAAAAAATTCAAATGTGGTGGCTGATGTGAAGACTCTAGAGCCAAACGCACACTGGTGTAGAGAGAGAGAGAGAGAGAGAGAGAGAGAGAGAGAGAGAGAGAGAGAGAGAGAGAGAGAGAGACAAAGAGAGAGAGAGAGTCTATCGAAGAGGTGATAGCATGTGTGTGTTACTCGAGCCATAATTAGACAGATAGCATGACCACCTCTTCGACGACCATCATAGGTATGTGAGAGTGTGTATCTGTGTGTGTGTGTATGTGTGTCTGTGTGAGTGTATGCGGGTGTGTGTGTGCAAGAGAGAGAGAGAGAGAGAGAGAGAGAGAGAGAGAGAGAGAGAGAGAGAGAGAGAGAAAAAAAAACCCTCAGCATTCAGAGTTTCTTTTGACATTGAAAGACATTTAGAACATCGTTGGTGTCAAATATACTTAGAAACTTGTGATCTTCTTTCATTCTCAACACTTCATTTTTTCCCTTACGTCCCAAAAAGTCTTGTCTTTCCCAAATTTTTCTCACGATCTCTACAGCTCGCTTCTCTCTGTCCAAAGGAATCACATTGACAGAAACCTTGCCGACTCTCGCCTTGTGTGAAGTGATGATGGCCTCTTCGATCCGCCTCATCTCTTGTGTAGCTTGAGCAGTTCGTGCAGGACGACTCTTGTTGTTAATGTGGCAGTCGAGCACCATGTGAGCAAAAACCAGTTGTTGAAGTGTGCAACCTCTTCGCTTCAGTTCCTTGTAGTCTCTGTACAGTACCCCGTCAATTACGTTGTTGAACTTTTCTGCACCCCATGACTCACTACCTTTCATTCTCCAAGAAGAGTCTTCCATCATTTTCTTCCTCATCTGGTCCCGTTTCATCTTTTGGTGGTCTACTGAACTGCCACACGGATACGGAAGTCCCAGACCACTCTAAAACCCTCGAACAATGTCATAAGCAATCTCGCCTCTGACGTTCGTCAGCTCCCTCGAACCCATACTTGTAATTGCTATTATTCCTTTCGATTTAACCACTCGATCAACTGCGCGTCTTACGTCTTCACGAAGCGTCCCAACGAATTCTAAGAATGCATCAACGAAAGCAGATGGCGACGGGTACATTTCCACGTCTCCTGCACGTGTGAAATAAAAAGTCTTCGCCATACAACGAAGCAATCGTTTCATCATCTTCATATCGGAATCAATGTCTTGCGCATCTTCACCTTCAAACTTCTCACCATCACTCGTTGCCTTCAAGCCACGTGTTTGTTGTTCACGTTGTACTGCACAACATATAAATACAAAATATAACCCTGTGTTAATACTACTTTTCACATACTCAATGTTTTTCAATTTCAATGCGCCAACTTGGGTTGCAACCAGCTTCGCACCCTCTGTGCTTGCCCGGGCAAGAGTGCTTGCCGCCATGTCCATCCCTTCTCGGACCGCCATACTAGAATCCAACACAACTCTCTCCATAGACGACACTGGCAGGTGAACACTAGCACGATCTTTGCCCGTTGCCCTACGCCGTTTCTTCCGCAAGCCCTCCGATTCTTCAACACTTGCACCACTACGGCTCCCGCCTTCTGATGAGCCATGCCCACCGGGTGTTTCCTTATCGGAAACCCTGCTTTCAAAACCCTGCAAGTTTGATGATGCCATGGTATTGTCGCAAGCGACTGGCGACTTTCGTTGTGCCCACTCCATCTCCTCCCACAGCGGCTGCTCAAACGTCGTCAGGATTCCCTCCCGTTTCCTGTCTTCGACGCTCATCTCCCAATATGAGGGTTTCCCCGATGCGTTACACTTGTGTAGGATGTCCTTCATCTTGCTCATGAGGTCGCACCACTTCTTCATGCAGTCTTCCGCCAACCTACTCCAACCTGCCGCCTTCATCTTCTTTGACACCCACTCGTTCCTCACTGACCTTCTCGCGTGCTTCAGCCGACCTGACGCCATTTGCATCATGGCGTCGTCCTCCTTCATGAACCTCGCCAGATCAATGCGCTCCTCCAGCAGCCATGACCTGGTTCTCCTCCTCCCCGGCACATCACCTCCCTCGGGTTGCGCGTCGTCATCACCTGTATCTACTTCACTGCCACTTTCAAGCACCCGTCCCCCAACACTGCCCCTCCCTCTTCCGCAACCCTCTCGTCCACGTGCATCTGCCACTGCCGGATGTGACTCTTCTTCCCCTCGTGGCACGGTGGGTGATGGATCGTGCCCCAGTCGCACAACGTCCGGCAAGCGGGGACTGCATCAGTCGGCCATGTGTCCATGGTCCCTTGCTGATAGGGACGCACTGACGCCCTGCGGCATCCTCTGTACATCTTCAGCGACACCACCCCCAACAGTGCGGAGGTTCGCCCACGCCCTGTCTACAACGACGGTGCGTAAGCAATCGACCAAAAGGGGCTGCATACAGGCGGGAGCTGGAGGAGGAATAAAGGAGGCGCCTTGGGAAAGTTGCAGACTTGGAGTCACCGGAATCTGCGTACTGTCAATGAAGCCACATGCAGTTCCACCCACCGTTGCCGAAGGTGGAGGACGAATGCGTGTACCGAGGTCCGAAACAGGTCTGAGCGGTGCATCCATGCTAGATGTGAAGGTAACCGGGAGACGCATGTGCGCGGGTGATTGAGTGGCATGCCGAGCCCAGATCTCTGGGTCCGACATCATAGACGACAGCCCCATGGAGACCTGGGCTTCGAAACCAAGGTTCTCGTCCTACATGTACCCCGGAAACCGGCTGCGTGGCCCTCCCAAACTGGGTATGTCCGATGCCCATCCACTGCCATCCATTCCTGCAACGTAAACGCCTGCCCACACCGCCTTCAGATACACTTCCGATGCAACAAAACGCAAAGGCCGACCAGTAGCAGGACAAGGAAGACGAACAACATCACGACGATGGCAATGATTGCACCTATGAAGAAAAAGATGATGGCCACGATGATAGTCGACCACCACGGACAGACGTGGGCTTTAGGCATGTCAACACCAGAAGAGGTTGGTGCGAAGCATGCCTGTGTACATAAGCAACGACAAGACGAACAACCCGCCTGCCGTCCATCCCACTTGCGTCTCCGCACCACCGTTGGACTGAACAAAACCACACGTGTGGAAAGAGAATGACAGTTTCGCGCTCACCCCTCCTTCGCCAAACTGCACATGAGGGAGGACGTCGAGGAGTCGACCAGGGGGGCTGGCGACAACAGTGTCCATTTGTCCATGTGAAGCTGATGGAGATGGCCGCACAAGCAAGGGAGGGAGAAACTGTTTGCCACTCGATGTCGAGCGCATCGGTCCGGCACCGCACAAGGCAGCGCGAGACCCTCCCGGCCGTGTCATTCAGGAGTTGGTTTAAATCCTCTTCGTGAATATACATGGAGCTTCCGCAAGCCGCTCCGGCCGAGTGCGCCAACCATACCTCCCGCGAGCCCCTACAACAGGATAGGGCCTACGCGAGACATGACTTACCTCCACCTTACAGGAGCTGTCGCCTCCCTTTGGTGGGCGTATCCCTGCCGAGCTACCAGTTCACAGTACGAAAGCTGATCAATTGCAATCGTAGAGGTGGACCAGCCAAGGGCATTTTCGTTAGTTGTAGCATAGGGGGTACGCGCGGTAGTACGCCTCTATCGGACCCGCACACGAACCGACATCTAGGGGGGGCTGAGGTCCCGAGCGCGACTCGGCGTCTGTCGACTAGGACGTATCCCACTCACCACGCATACACCACATTACGAACACAAAATTAAAACACACACACACACACATCAAACAACGCGACAACACTCCTAGTCCCTTAGTAGCCATCCCATAACTTTCCGTGGCGGAAATCGGATAGGCGTCGCGAGCGAGACTCAGTATAACACCGCATGGACACAGGGCTAACTCATATCGACTCTTTATGCAAGCGGACGCAAGCGGTCGCGATGATGGGGTACTATGTAGTACCCATACTCGTGCGGTCCTCGTTAATCTCGAGGGTCGCATTCGACACTCAAGTGTCGGCTGACACGCGCCTTGAGGGTTAATCTCTCGACGCTGGACAACTGCCATGCGCGGTTGAAGGTCACACACCCTCTTCTGCACTCTGTGCAGAGTGGGTGGTACACAAGTCCATACCTGTGGTGACAGTCGTTTCTTACTGCCCTAGAGATGAGCCCCACTCCAGGCCTGGACAGGAGTCAAGGTGTTTGACTTTGACGGCTGCCACGGACTACAACGTCCAACTATAAAATCTAAAAAGCAGAAAATAGACCGAAGGTGCCCCTATTCCAAAAGAGAGCATGACCCTGTGGTACCCTCCCCTTTTCGAGTAGTGCCAGCGGCCCATAATAACCCCAAGCGTTCGTGCATATGTGCGAGTCCCTTTGATCCCATAACCTTTAGACGCTAAGGCGGCGACGCATCGTGCGCATGATTCTAGTATAAAGTCGCGCAGTCGTAGGCCAGTCCTATACCAACCAACGATGCTAGTCATACGTGGTAATCGCGACCCTGACCTCGCGAGGGTCGAACGGCATGTCCTTCAGCCGTTCCCTCACGATATTGAACGGCTGAAGGACATGCCGTTCGACCCTCGCGACATTTCCGCCTTCAGGATTGGGTGTCTCGATGGGCAGAGCAAATAGGCTCTGTGCGAGGGGAAGTTCCTCCCCTGCAGAGTCTAGGGCTTGGGATGTCCCAGATAAGGAACTTGAATCCCGGCCCAGGACCAACGTCGGACTAAGAAAAACCCCCAAGAATCAAACAAGAAAAAGGAAGGGTCCTCCCTATGCCTTTCAGTCTTAACCTCTGAGTAGGCTTTTGGCACGGGGCCCCCTTAGGCCACGCAGACATTCATCCCAGGTACACATGTATGCATATATAAAGGGGTAAGTATAAGACGATCACTTCTCACAGTCTCAGTGGGGTTTCTCACAACCATATGCATATATGTGATCGCAGGCAATCAAATCCAGAATCTAAGCCGCAATACATACCTGCAACCACATCAAAGAGTCAAACAACAGTCCGCAAACTACACGGAGTCAACCCCAACCATCCTCGACATTCATACCCTTTGCTTTAGCCATGCAAGCCCCAACCTCCTGTCCAACCAGCCTTAATTAAATACTCAGTACCTTTGTTAAATGGCTATTCAATAAAAGTCCGGGTGAAACCTTAATGAAACAATGAAACCACCAGGGCTAAAGCTTTTTAGGTTGAGTGTGGAGAGTGAGTTGGAATTGAGTCGTAAACCGACGAATCGGCAACCGATCTGTTATCAGTGATAACAGAAGATGACCCTCAAGGGATCAAACTGAATCTAGTTCTGAACTTGAATCAGATGATCAAGAGGACCTGTAACACAAGACAAGTCAATGCCCCAGGCTAACCTATAAGTCTATGGGGAACAATCTCCATATCATGATCTTGCCCGAATTATTCCCGTTAACTATATCTAAGCCTACCTCTAATCAAGTGTTCAAACCTCCCCTATCCAGAGTGGACTACCAAAATCGCCACCTGTCAAAATACAATCCATCTCCTAAGAAAATTTCGGCAGCGCTCCCCGTAGGAAAAGTGTCGTTCCAAAATTTATATAAGCCCAGATATGAAAGCAGAAATAGTTTCAAACTCTGGAAAGTCAAATTTTGTCTAACTCTCTGAACTAGTAAAAATTTGGGCAACACTCCCTTTCGAAAGGGAGACTTCCCAGATTTATAATAAGTCATATATGAACTCAAGAGACAAATTGGGTTCAACTTAGACAAGATTTAACTAACCCCTCAGTTTTGCAGAAATTTCGGCAGCACTCCCTCTAGAAAAGTGCTTTCCCAAAATTTATACAAAGCTAAGTCCAGAATTTGAGAATAACTTTGACTTCTTAAAGTCAAAATCTTGTCTAACTCCCTAAATTAGCAGAAAATTGGGCAGCATTCCCTCTAGAAAGGGAGGCTTCCCATATTTTTACTAGGTCAGATATAAAGAAAAGACAAGTTGAACTTTTAATAAGTCAGAAATTGACGAACTCCTTGGATTTGTAGAAATTTCGGCAGCGCTTCCCGTAGAGAAAGTACCTTGTCAAGATTTATACAAAGCCAAGTATAAAAAAAAATCTCAAAAAATGCAAGAATTGACCTAAGTAAAGAAAGTTTTCACAGAAAATGCAGGAATTGAAACTAACTCCTATTGCTCTAGCACGTGGCGAGCAACTAAAGCAACTACCTATCGAATTGAGGCTCGGACCAAGTAGTCACCTCATTCAGCCACATGCAGGCCAAACCACAAAGGTAAGTACTCTCACCATCCCAAGTTCATTCTCGGCAAACAAGAGTTCACAATCCTTTGGTAACGTAACTCTTTATACCCAGCTTACATAAGGCATAAAATCAGGCCACCCAAACTTATGGAATGTGCCTAACTTAGCCAAAGAGTATACACAAAACAGAGGGCACAACTACTTTTCTCTTCTTTGGGCATATGACTAGACCATTCTAGTCGCCCTGAACTGTTTAAAATGTCCAAGTTATATATATTTGTCTTCCCTTTATCTTCTAAGGCTGCATATGACTGAATCAACGTAAGTTCAGTCTGCCCCAGCTTACCACTAATTTTATTCTAAATTATACTCTCTTCAAGTTGTGATAGGCTATAGTCAGACCACCTAAACTTATAGAACAGTCTGATTAACTCGTTCTTGAAATAAAATAATAATAAAGTATAGCCAAATTGTTACTATTGGGTTCCAGCATATGCGAGGCTTTGAGTCAGACCACCTGAACTTACAAAACAGTCTGGCTCTCTGCCTGATTAGTTTCTTTCTGATCCATTCTATGCGTGGCATTGGGCTAGATCACCTGAACTTACAGAACAATCCGCCCTTTGTCAAGTTCATTCCCTCAGAATAAAAAGCAGGAAGAGGTTAAGCCACCTAAACTTATAGAAGAGCTTAGACCTCCTCGTTCAGAACCAAATAAACCGAGGAAAACCCAAAATAAACAAGGCGGCCAAGGCACCTGAACTTACAGAATCCACCTGGTCCCTGAAAAGTCAACCACAATCAGCCCTCGCAAGCCAGAGCAGTCAGGCCACCTAAACTTATGGAACAGCCTGACCCTCCATGCTAGACCACAGCACTGAGTCTCCCAAAACTTATGGGGACATCCCAGCTTCCAAAGTAATCAGACCCCCTAAACTTATAGAAGGGTCTGACGCTCCATGCAAACCAAAGTAAACAAAGCACCCGGTCTCCCCAAACTTATGGGGACATCCCAGCCTTAATGACCCAGTCAAACCTTCAATCAAAACAACCCTCCGTCCTGCCTTTCCCAGATGCAGTTTCTTTTGGCAGTCTGAGTTCACACAATCAACAAAGTTGAAACTGAAATTGAGCAGACTTTCTTTTACTTAATCTGGGTTGATGTCCTGAAAGTCAAACCAAAACTTTGAGTAGGGCTGCACACCATATATTCAGTCAAGGATGCAATGGGCAATACAAATAGGGGTTATAACAGGGTTTATAGAAGGAAACACAATGGTTACCTGTTAGTTCCCTGCCTCCAGAACTCCTCCTGAGTTCCGGCAGAGCTCCCGCAATCGGTGGGCTGACTTCCCACAGAGTCTTGCCGCGGTCCTACGGGTTGCAATCCCGCCTGCCGCCTTCCTCTCAGAACCCAAGGACTAGACTTAGAATAAGAAGGGCAGAGGGAGAAAGATTTTAGACTCTCAGATCCAAGAGAGGTGCTCACAGACTCGCAGGAGAGGGCCTTGATATCTTGAATCGCCTGAGGGCCCCGCAATGGCAGCCAATGTGGCAACTTGGTCACACTGAGTCAACTGCCGAAGTCAAACTTCTGACGACTCCCCAGTTTGCAGCAATAACCTCCTCCTTAATAAACGCACCCACTTCACGATCCTCGCGGTCCGAAATGCCTTGGCCGTTGCTCGAGACACGAGCCGCGGACCAAAAACACCGACTGGCAGCTTTAGCCGGTCACTGCAATTCGGGAATACAGCGACTTAAATAAAACCTAAGTCGCAACGCAGATCCCCGCAGTTCATTCGTTTTGCAGCACCAGAAGTAGCCCAACCAACCGCAACAACCCCAGCTCTACAGCAGAGCTTCAACAGCAGCCTTCAAACACAACAGCCACCTCCACAGACCCACAACCGCTCGTGGTTTAGTAACCTCAAAACCTCAGTCGCGGCCCTTGCCGTGAGTGGGAACAGTTTTGCGAGTATGAACGCCGGTTCTGAGCCTACGGTAGCATCACGGATGGCGATAACAGTCAGGATATGTTGCAACAAGGTCATGGTATTACCCATAGGCACGCTCATATTTTGACAGATAATGCACGACGCTAACCATGGTCAACTGTGACAGTACACTAACAACCACAAGCCGC